CAACCTCAAAGACAGACATTGCCTCAGAGTAAAAGGTTGGAAAAATTTTTTTTTCAATCAAATGGACCTAAGAAACAAGCTAGCATAGCTATCCTAATATCTAATAAAATAGACTTCAAACTAAAATCAATCAAAAGAGACAAAGAAGGATACATCATATTAGTCACAGGAAAAATTTATCAAGAGGAAATCTCAATGCTGAACATCTATGCCCCAAATACAAGGGCATCCTCATATGTCAAAGAAACACTTCTAAAGCTTAAATCATACATCAAACCCCACACACTAATAGTAGGAGACTTCAACACTCCACTCTCACCACTGGACAGGTCAGTCAGACAAAAAATTAACAGAGAAATAAGGAAACAAACAGATGTTATGACTCAAATGGACTTAATAGAACATTCTAGTCAAACATAAAAGAATATACCTTCTTCTCAGAACCTCATGGAACCTTCTCAAAAATGATCACGTGATTGGTAACAAAACAAACCTCAACAGATACAAAAAAATTGGAATAACCCAGATATTAATCCACACACCTATGAACACCCGATTTTTGACAAATAAAAAATATAAAATGAAAAAAGCATATTTAACAAATAGTGCTGGCATAACTGGATATCAGCATGTAGATGAATGAAAACAGACCCATCTGTCACCATGCACAAAACTCAAGTCCAAATGGATCAAAGACCTCAACAGAAAGATAACCACACTGAACCTCATAGAAAAGAAAGTGGAAAGTACACTTGAACACATCAGCACAGGAGACCACTTCCTAAATATAACCCCAGCAGCACAGACACTGAGAGAAACAATTAACAAATAGACCTCCTGAAACTGAGAGGCTTCTCTAAAGCAAAGGACACGGTCAACAAGACAAAATGACAGCCTACAGAATGGTAAAAGATCTTCACCAACCCCACATCAGACAGAGGATTTATCTCCAAAATATAAAAGAACTTAAGAAATTGGTCATCAGGCTGGAGAGATGGCTCAGTGGTTAAGAGCACTGCCTGCTCTTCCAAAGGTCCTGAGTTCAATTCCCGGCAACCACATGGTGGCTCACAACCATCTGAATGAGGTCTGGTGCCCTCTTCTGGCCTGCAGACATACACACAGGCAGACTATTGTATACATAATAAGTAAATAAATATATTTTTAAAAAAAAGAAATTGGTCATCAAAAGAACAAATAATTCAATAAAAAATGGAGTACAGACCTAAGCAGAGAACTCTCAGCATAGGAATCTAAAATGGCTAAAAGACACTTAAGGAAATGCTCAGCATCCTTAGCCTTCAGAGAAATGCAAATCAAAACAACTCTGAGATTTCATTTTACACCTGTAGGAATTGCCAAGATTAAAAACACTGATGACAATTTATGCTGGTGAGGTTGTGGGGTAAAGGGAACACACCTTCATTGCTGGTGGGAGTGCAAACTGGTACAGCACCTTTGGATATCAGTGTGACAATTTCTCAGAAAAATAGGAAATAACCTTCCTCAAGACTCAGAAATACAACTTTTGGGTATATACCCAAAGGATGCTCAATGGTACCACAAGGACATGTGCTCAACTATGTTCATAACAGCATTGTTTGTCATAGCCAGAACCTGGAAAACAACCTAAATACCCCTCAACCAAAGAATGGATAAGGAAAATGTAGTACATTTACACAATGGAGTGCTACACAGCAGAAAAAAAATGACATCTTGAAATTTGCAGGCAAATGAATGGATCTAGAAAACATCATATTGAGTGAAGTAACCCAGACACAGAAAGACAATTATCAAATGTACTCACTCATAAGTGGCTTTTAGACATAAAGCAAAGAAAACCAGCTTACAATTCACAATCCCAGAGAACCTAGACAGCAATGAGGACCCTAAGAGAGACTTAAACAGATCTAATCTACATGGGAAATAGAAAAAGACAAGATCTCCTGAGTAAATTGGGAGCATGGGGGTCTATAGGAGAGGGTAGAAGGGAAGGGGAGAGGAAGAGACGGGAGCAAAGAAAAATGTATAGCTCAATAAAATCAATTAAAAAAAGATTTGTGTCCATCTGGAGTTCCCAAGGAGAAAACTGATAGGAAGCCAGACTGTGTGCTGAGAAGCTTCCGGAAGGCTGTAGAGCCCGATTCGCAGTTTCTAGAAGATATTGCTGACAGCGCAGCACAAGCCTGTGCCAGGATAATATGTCCCCAGACTAAGGAGGACACATTTCCCGCCAGCAAAAGGTTATGGTAGGGGTGGAGCTGGTTTCCCAGTCAAGAAGTCCCCCAAGAGCCGGGCGGTGGTGGCACACCCCTTTAATTTCAGCACTCGGGAGGCAGAGGCAGGCGGATCTCTGTGAGTTCAAGGCCAGCCTGGTCTACAAGAGTTAGTTCCAGGACAGGAACCAAAAGCTACGGAGAAATCCTGTCTCGAAAAATAAAAAACAAAAAAATTAAAAGAAGAAGAAGGAGAAAGAGAAGGAGAAAGAGAAGGAGAAGAAGAGGAGGAGGAGGAGGAGGAGGAGGAGGAGGAGGAGGAGGAGCAGCCAGGTATGGGGAGGCTACAGCTACAGTGGTAACCCAAGCTGACAGAGGGAGCCAACGAGTACAGCAGGGGAGAGCACGCCCGGTGTAGGTCTGAGCAGATTAACTGAAACCCACTGAGTTTATCAGGGATGGAGAAATGTGGGAAGGCCCCGCGGAAGACCTCCAGGATATGGTAATGTGCAGGCTCAGAGAGACCCTCTAACGATCACAGGGAGCTAATTAGGTTAGCTATCATCCAAGCACTGTACCTGACCTTGATCTGTGGAGGGAGCGACTGATCCAAATGGACGGAATGGCCGTGCCGTGCCGTATTAGACCTCGCGGATGTTTGACACCAGTACGTTCTTGGTTGTTAACCCCTGGGGTCACCTGTCGCTTGCTGAGAACAGAAGTCAGTAACTTCCGGAGTGCCTCACCAAGGTTGTCTTTGTTATGGGACGGTAGTTCAGGATGCGACCTTGGCCTGCATCCTCTGGAAAAGGTTTGGTTCTATGGATGACGGGATGCTAACCTCCGAGTGTTTCACAGATCTGGCAACCAGGGGTGGGCTGCCTTCCTGTGGACTGTTGACCAGGGAAACCCCTGAGGTCCCTCAAGCCATAAAGGCTGTGGCGGCTGTTGTTGGTTGTACACCAGAACTAGACAGTAGAGCCTTTCGCTGAAGACACTGCGTTGTGTGTGCTCTAACTGTAGGATGTGGAGAAATTAAAAGCTGGGACCGAACCGGAAACTCCCACCTTGCTGCGTCCACCACGTTTAGCAAGCCTAGGGATCTTGCTGTAATGGAACAGTACTTTAGAAACAGCATTGTATTTGTTTTTATGGCTGTCTTCCTCTAGCTAAACTATTCTGGTTGTCCTTTTCTTTTTTAATATAAAGTGCCACTATGTAGTCCACGCTAGCCTCCAACTCTGGATTGATCCCCCTTCAGCTTCCCAAGTGCTGGAATTACAGACGTGAACTACAAACTCTCGCTGGCTTCCTCCCTCCTTTTCTTTTATGAGACAAGAGCTTGCTATGTAGCCCAGGTTAGCCTTGAACTCACCGTCCTCCTGCATCTGCTTCCCAAATGCTGGGATTATAAGTGTATGCCATCCTCTGCTAATAGAGGGAATTGACTGAGACCAGCCTGAGCTACACAAGACTCTGATTTAGACGAACAAGAAAAGTTACAGGCAAGATGTAAAATGCAAAGTTCAAATCACAAGCAGGACGGACGAGATTCTTCACTTTATTTTCCACGTTCTGTTTCTCACTTGTCAACACAGGTATAAAATCTGCCTGGTTGTGTTAATAAAGGAGAAGCAGGGAGGGCAGAGAAATGGCAAGGACCGAGATGCCACAGTGGGCCAGCAGGTCAAGTGGGGTAGGAAGTCGCCTGGGGGGCCAGGGAGGGCCCCTCCACCTGGCACACCTCCCCAGATGGTCCCTGCCTTATACGATTTGGTAAACATGGTTTACAGCCTTTCTGACACCTCCAGTCCTTGTCCCCAACATTCTTCTCACATATCAGCCAGGAGGTAAAGTCTCCTCTGACCACCCATGGGAACAGTAAGGAGGTACAGATGACTTGGGAGCTTCGCAAAGGAGGCCCAGAACCTGCTTCTAATGCCTGTAGTCTGGGCTCCTGAGGAAAGAAGGTTTGACCTTCCACGCAGAGCAAAACTTCCTGACTTTTAGTTGCACATTGCCCCCATGGCCACTGTGACCCTGTGTCTATGAACATAGGAATTTGCACCAGAACTACGTTCACCCTTCGGCCTTTCATTCAGACAAGTATTTTCAAGGTTTATGTAACTTACAACGATCTATTGCCTGGACCAAGTTCACTGCATTGTGCAAGCCAGTTTCCTTTTTCCCCCTCTTTCTTTTTTTCTTTTTCTTTTTCCTTTTCTTTTTTTGAGGCAGAGTCTCGGGTAACCCAGGCTATCCAACTCACTATGTGGCTGAGGATGACCTTGAACATCTGATCCTCCGGCCTCTACCTCCCAAGTGCTGGTATTACATGTGCCAACACAAGTGTTTCTATGTTTCTGTGATGCTTAAGAGGAAACCCATCCTTGTGGCAGGCAAGCACTCTGCCGGCTGAGCTACACCATCTGCCCCCTTTTCAGTTCCTCCTTAAGTATTCAGAATGATCCATTCGGTCCCCAGCTCCCACACACGCTGCGCATTTCACGAGTTCTCAGTCCAGTTTTCCCAGGAAGGCAGTGGGGGGAGGGGGGGGAATCGGGAGTAGTAGTCTTAGTAGTCTCTCTCAGCATGGAGTTGTTCTCTTGTGCATGGTTTAGAGGGAAGGAAGACTGAATCAGTGGACTTGGTGCATTGTGGGGGCAGGTCTGGGAAAAGATGGATGTCTTTCTTTCCTAAGGATAATTCAAGATACCCAGAAAGACCTCAAACCGGGGTTAAGATCATGACCTAGGGTCCAGGTGTGGGTGGCTCTCACACCACTCAGGGCTTCCCAGATGCAGAAGCCTTTTTGGCCCTTGTGGAGACTCTTGAGGGCGCTTGCCTGGAGGAGCGCTGCAGGCCCAGACCTCTGGGGCGGCCTAACCCGTGCTGCAGTCGCTCGTGCTTGCGGATCTGCACCTTGTGCCGGAAGCGCTCGCCGCAGTCATCGCACGCGTGGAGCCGCTCACCCGAGTGGGTGCGGCGGTGGCGCAGCAGGTTGGAGGAGACGCTGAAGCACTTGCCGCAGTCGGCGCAGACGTAGGGCCGCTCGCCGGTATGGGTGCGCTGATGCTGCACAAGCGCCGAGCTCTCGCTGAAGCGCTTGGAGCAGTAGGTGCAGGCGTAGGGCTTCTCGCCGGTGTGGATGCGCTGGTGGATCACCAGGTTAGAGTGTTGCGAGAAGCCCTTGCCGCACTCGCTGCAGAGATGCGGCCTCTCCCCAGTGTGCGTGGCCTGGTGTCGCACCAAGTCCGTGCTGCGGCTGAAACCCTTGCCACACTCTCCGCAGATGGTCGGCCTGTCCCTGCCTCGCCGCTTCTTGCGCTGTTTTGTGGGCGTCCGAGCCTGAGCCTCACTCCCTGTGGGGCCCGCGATGGTCACCATAGTGGATGTGGCCACAGTGGGTAGTACCATGAGCTCTTGCAGCACCACATAGCCTGGAGGGGCCACCACGAAGGAGACTGGAGCTGATGCTATGCCACCTCCCGGAGTGGGAACCAGCTCCAGCTGCAGCTCCGGCTGCACAGAGGTCAGCTGCAGCTGCAGCTCCTGATGCTGGGCGCTCAGTTCCACCGGGGCTAGCTCCAAGTGTACCTCCTGTTGCTCCAGCTGCTGCAGCTGCTCCAGCTGATGCTGCTGCTTCAGGTGCTGCTCTAGCTGATGCAGTTGCTCCTGCAGTTTTAGCTTCAGCTGTTGTTGTTCTTGCAGCCTCTCCAACTCCTGCCGCCGCTGCTCCAGCTCCTGCTCTGACCTTATGCCCAAAGGCATAAGCTCCAGTTCTGCATCTTCTTCCTCCTCTGGTTCCAGTGGAGGAGGCTGCAGCTGCTGCTGTTGCAACAACTGTTGCTGCTGCAACTGTTCTTGCTGCAGCAATAGTTGGTGCTGTATCTGGACCTGCTGCTGCTGCAACAGTTGTTGCTGCAACTGTGCCTGCTGCTGCAGCAACAGCTGCTCTATATGTCCCTGTGGCTGCAGCAACAGAATCTGCTGCTGCAACTGTTGTGGTTGCAATTGTCCCTGCTGTTGCAACAGTTCCTGTTGTTGGAGCAGCAGCTGCTGCTGTAACTGCTCCTGTTGATGCTGCTGCAACAGCTGTTGTCCTTGTAATTGCTGTTGCAATGCTTGTTCTTGCAACTGCTGCAGCAGCAATTGTTCGTGTTGTTGCAGTAGTTGCTGCTGTTGAAGAAGCTGCTGCTGTGACTGTTGTTGCTCTTGCATTGGCTGCTGTAAAGGCTGCTGCTGCAGCAAAGCCTGTTCTTCTACTTGCTGCTGCAATAGCTATTGCTGTTGCACATGTTGCTGCACAAGTTGTTCTTGTACTTGCTGCTGCTGCTGCAGCCGTTCTTGCTGCTGTAGTAACAGCTGTTGCTTTTGGCCTTGGGGCTTCATAATCATCCACTGCTGCTGGTGCTGCAACAGCTGTTGCTCTTGTTGCTCCTGTCCAAGTCCTGAATGCTGTGCCAGCTGCAGTTGTGGTTTTGGTTCCTGATGCTGCTCGGACTGGAGGCTTTCCTGTAGCTTTTGCTGCAACTGAGACAGCTACTGCTGCCCATCTTGCTGCTGCAGCAATTCTGGCTAAGGTCCTAACAGTTGAGCAGCAAGAGGCTGCTGCTCTTGTAACTGCTTGTGCTGCAGCTGCTGTTCCAGCTCTTGCTGCTGCTCTAACTGCTGCAGATGCAAGTCCTATTGTCCCAGCTGCACTGCCCCAATGCTGTTACTGGCCCCTACTGGGGCTGTGAGTGCTGGCGGCTGTGGGCTGCTGCTCACCTGCTGAGCCTCTTCCTCCTCCTGGCTCTCACTCCCACCACTGCCATCTATAGTGGAAATGGCAGGAAGCCAGGATCGATGGACAGCTAACCTGGACCACAAACCCCCAAAAGAATGTATTCAGGATCCACTAAGGGGCTCTTAGCAGGGACCCAAAAATGAGGGGTTGAGTGGCAATGATGACAGGACAGACATTTCCAGAGTTTCACGGGTCACCTCATTCAGACTCCCTCTGAGCCTCCCTCATGCATTGATACCAACAGAGCTTTGGGCTCCCGGAACCATTCCCAAAGAGGTCTCTAATGCTGACTTCCTTCCTAAGCAGGAGAAACCAGATTTTGCAGTGGTAAATTCTGACTCCATTTATGGTCACACTTTATTCATTCATTTGTTAGTTCATTCATTCATTCGTTCATTCATTCATTTGTTATTTTGGTTTTTTGAGACAGGGTTCTTTGTGTAGCCTTGGCTGTCCTGGAACTAGCTCTGTAGACCAGGCTGGCCTTGAACTCAGATATCTGCCTGCCTTTGCCTCCTAAGTGCTGGGATTAAAGGCGTGCGCCACCATGGTCCAGTGATGGTTACACTTTAAATAAGTGAAATTTGCCTTGTCTAAGAATAGTGAGCATTTCTGTAAAGATACAGCAAGACATTTCTAGAAAGCGTGGAAGGAATTCTGGGGTCAGGTAGGGAGTTCGTGGTTCAGAATCGGGCTGAAAATCCAGGCACAGCAGCCCACCTGTAACTCCAGCCTCAGAGGGTGGAGAGAGGGGATCCCTGGAGGAAGCTGGCTGGCAGGAGTAGCCATATGGGCAAGTTCTGGGTCTGATGGAGAGACCCTGCCCATTGACTAAGGTGGAAGAACAATCAAGGATGATTCATGACATCAATCTGGGGCCTGCAGATGTGCACATATCAACCACACACATGAGTTCCCAAACACATATATGCATACATACACACCACATACACACATACCAAAAAAATTGTGTAGTAATTATCTTTTAGGGAAAAAATTCTTTCCAACCACTTTTGTTGAGTTTTTTTTTTTAAAAAACTGTGTCTTGTGTGTATTGCATGTATGTTCATGTGTGTGCTTTATGGGAACATATGTGCCACAACACACCAGTGGAGGTCACAGAACAACTTTGGGTGTTGGACCTCACCCTCCACTTTGAGGCAGGGTCTCTCGTCTGCCACTGCACAGGCCAGCCAGGCTAACTGGGCCTGGAGACTCCAAGGGATTCTCCTGCCTCCGCCTCCCATTTTACCATAGGAATTCTGGGATTGCAGAATGCTGGTTTCTGGGGATTTGAACTCGAATCCTGAAGCTTTTCCCGCTCTTTTTCCTCCCCAGTACCTTGGGTGTATGTTTCAGACAGACTTCTACAGAACAGCTGGGATGTTAGGTGGTGGATGAAGACGGCCATGGGAACCTGTCGCCACAGCGAGTTCAACTCCGTCTGCAGGGAAAGACCTCACCTCTGGGTGAATCTCCACAGGGCTAGCTTGGTCACATGGTCCCTCTGCATTCCTGGGCAGCAGTTTCCACAGAAGCATTTTATTGGCCATGTAGTTAGATGTCACTTGAAGTGTATGCCTGCTGGAGTTAAATTCACAATCGGAAAGAGTCTTTGTTCAATTCATATATTCTCATTTTATCATTTTATTCTCCCAAATTTCCTGACAGTCTCTCTTGTTCATTCTCTCCACCCCGTTTCTGTCTCTCTACAATAGTGTCTCATTGTATAGTCCTAGTCTGAAACTCAATGCACAGCCCAGGCTGTCAAACTGTGACCCTCTTGCCTGAGCCCCCCAGGTTCTGGGATTCCAGTTATATGTCACCATCATCAAACCCTCCCTGGTTCTTTCTTAACTCCCTTAAAGCTGCCCCCCCCCCACTGTCACTCACCACAGAACGTGAACACTAACTCGTGTCCACCCTTGAAGGCTCCCCCTGTGTGGGGCTCAGGGACAACCCTGGGAAGTCCCACAACACCAGGGGTACCTGTGTGGCTCGGGGAAGGAAAGGGATGGGACAGATGTTGAGGAAATGGGACCTAGGATCGAGGTCACTACAGAAAGGAGCCATGCACCCAATGTCTGAGGCATCAGCGATGGAAAATCCCTCCAGCTCTATAGGAGACAGTGGAGGCCACCTGGGAAAAGCAGGTTAAAGCCAGCCCAGGTGTGGGGGTCAGGACTGAGGTTACCGAATCTGTCTCCCGCAAGACCTTGGCGTGACAGACACCTCAACAGCTCCAGGGTAGTGAGGTTAGCAGGTATGAGTGAGTGCACTGTTGACCACACAGGGCTCCCTCTGCTGGCCTGGGCTGTGCCAGCTTGCAACTCAACTACAGAATCCTTGCTGGGGTCCCCATTATCTCCACCCCTCAACCCTCACCTGAGAGGGTGTCAGGTCCTGGACCCCCATCCTCAAGACATCGCAGCTCCAACACAAAGGTCTCTGTTGTGGGGCCCAGCTCCATCCTGGCGGTCTCACCAGCGTCCTTGGGAACAGGCTGTGCTGAGAGCAAGAAAGGAAGCTGTTCAGGAGGGAGATGGTGATGGCTGAGGCCCATTCCTACACAGAAGAGCCAGAGCTGTTATTTGCTGGATATACACAGTGATCCACCTCAGCTGACCAGCAACCTTCCTGACTCCCTGGGAAATGTAACTGGGAAAACAACCTCTCCCAAGGCTGGGACACCTGAGGCACACCTGAGAGGACCCATGGCACAGTCCCTTGGCCCCTTCCAAAGTATGACCATCCCCCAGGCTTCAAAGGCCACATAATATCAGGTGTCATCCTAGGTCCCTTGGAAGGTAGGAGTCCAGAGCACTGTCATCACGGCTGGGGCCTTCTGCAGGCCTGTGCTCCTGCCCTGAGTCCTGTGAAGAAGTGGTCTCCACATTCAGGCGTCCCCACCCCCCATGCCAGCAGACTCCATCTTCCTCTGGCTTAGAAGCCCTGGGTAGAGAAACGCCCCTGTGCCCAGCAAGGTTGCCAGGCCTCACCTGGAAGAGCATTTCCCGCCTGCTGCAGCCTCTGCACTAGGGGAGGTGTGGTCACCAGTGGCTATAAGGTGAAGGCCACGGCTCTTCAGCCAGCTCCTTCCGGAGGTGCCTCCATCTAGAATGAGCCAGGGAGGTTCTGACCGCCCACCGGGGAACCCTTGGCAGGCACTCCGCGGGGTCTTCGCTGTCAGAGCTGCTGAGGTCGCCCTGGGCCAAGACAAGGTGCAGAATGGAGTTGCCAGGCAGAAGTTGGTGGAGACTCTCACGTAGGAACAGGGAAGGGAGGCAGGGCTCCAAATCCCGAACAGGGATCAGGGTTGGTCCGGGTGACCATGGCGTGCAGCAGGGCCCAAGCTGGAGCCCTAGGTTGCCTCAGTGGGAACCGGGTGACAAGGGTCCTGGGCAATCACGGGCCACAGGTGCCCAGGGGAGGGGGGCGGGCGCCGCGGACCGGCAAGGTCCCGGGTCGCTCGCCCGCCCTCTGGTGATGTGCGTCCGTGCGGGAAACGGCCGGATTGGGGTGGGGGCGCTGGGGGGCCGACACAGGAAGTCCCCCCGGCATCCGCATCCTGTCCCCCGCCCCTGCTGCCTGCCGCGCCCCCTCGCCCCGGTCCCCGCCACTACCACCGTGGCCGCTGCCTTCGCCTTCGCCACGGTCGCCGCCGCTCTAGCCCGCGCCGCCAGCTCTGTGAGCTTAACCCTTGCCGGCCCAGTCACTCACCAGGGCCCCCCGGGGAGGTGTGGGTGGGTGGGGATGGGGACAGGATGCTTGGCCCTGCTTGCGTCCCGGAGCTCGCCGGTGCTGGGCGTGCAGCGCACGCTGCTGCAACGCATCGCCCAGTGCGGTGCGCGTGTCCGTGCGCCACGGTTGGTGACTGTCACTGAAGCTGCATGAATGGAAGAGGAAAGGGGTTCCTAGCCGACACCCCCAATGTCCTCTGAAGCGTTGGCGTGGCTTCAGGGCACCCCTCCCCGGACAGGGGTACAAATTTGGTCTAATTAGCACTTAATTAACCAGTTAGTGGGGAAGACCCCTCCTATTCCAGCAGGTCCAGAAATGCCAACCCGGCCCACACCTGGAACCTTGAGTTGGTTAGGATAGACAGGTGGCAACTGTGCCAGCTCCAGAAGGGCCATCTTCGGGAGCTGGGGGACCGGGCCTTGTCTCTTTGGGTTCTTCTCCCTCCAGTAGCCCCAGGCCCTCCCTCCTCCATCTTCCGTCCTTCTCCAGGCTCTTCATCCAGCGTTCTGAGCCAAGGCTTCCCCAGGGGCTTCTCCCTGATTGCTAGTTACCTTAACTAGTTGTTTCCTGCCTGGGGGTGGGAATGGGGTGGGGAGTATTTCCTCCCCCAGGAGGTTTGAGCTAACCATCTGCATATCCCTTCCCCCAGTTTTTTTATAAATTTTTATTGATATTTATTGAGCTCTACATTTTTCTCTGCCCCCCCCAACCCTCTCCCAAGGTCCCCATGATCCCAATTTACTCAGGAGATCTTGTCTTTTTATACTTTCTACTTCCCATGTAGATTAGATCTGTGTAAGTCTCTCTTAGCGTCTGCATTGTTGTCTAAGTTCTCTGGGATTATGGTTTGTAGGCTGGTTTTCTTTGCTTTATGTTTAAAAACCACCTATGAGTGAGTACATGTGATAATTGTCTTTCTGTGTCTGGGTTACCTCACTCAAAATAATATTTTCTAGCTCCATCCATTTTCCTGCAAAATTCAAGCTGTCATTTTTTTCTGCTGTGTAGTACTCCATTGTGTAAATGTACCACATTTTCCTTATCCATTCTTTGGTCGAGGGGCATTTAGGTTGTTTCCAGGTTCTGGCTATGACAAACAAAGCTGCTATGAACATAGTTGAGCACATGTCCTTGTGGCACAATTGAGCAGTCTTTGGATATATACCCAAAAGTGGTATTATTGGGTCTTTTTTTTGAGGTTCATAGTTTATTGTACAAATTGAGTATCACATGATGAGTTGACATCAGCTTCTTCAGGCATGGAACTTAACAGATGAGGTCAGACATTGAAAGACCCAGTTATGATGCTTTCACAACTGGAGTTTTTTTAGACCTTAACTTGAAGTATAGGACCAACAAAGCAATGCCTCCATATGTGGCCAGAACACAATTCATTCTACCTGTGAGAGTATAAGAGTTGAAATATTTTTTAATACCAGTGAACTGGAACTGGGCATCACTTTCAGGACCAGCCATGACTTCAATCTTCGCCCAAATCACAAATTTCGCAGCTGATGTCCTTCAACAAACCCAGCCACCAGCACGGCCCGACCCTTATTGGGTCTTGAGGAAGGTTGTTTCCTAATTTTCTGAGAAATCGCCAACTAACATCCAAAAGGGTTGTACCAGCTTGCATTCCCACCAGCAATGCAGAAGTGTTCCCTTTTCCCCACAACCTCTCCAGCAGAAGTTGTCACCAGTGTTTTTGATCTTGGCCATTCTTACAGGTGTAAGATGGAATCTCAGAATTGTTTTGATTTGCATTTCTCTGATGAGTAAGGATGTTGAGCATTTCCTTAAGTGTCTTTCAGCCATTTTAGATTCCTCTGTTGAGAGTTCTCTGTTTGGGTCTGTACTCCATTTTTTTTTATTGGATTATGTGATCTTTTGGTGTCCAATTTCTTGAGTTCTTTGCATATTTTGGAGATCAGGCCTCTGTCTGGTGTGAAGTCAGTGAAGATCTTTTTCCATTCTGTAGGCTGTCGTTTTGTCTTATTGACCATGTCCTTTGCTCTACAGAAGCTTTTCAGTTTCAAGAGGTCCATTTATTAATTGTTTCTCTCAGTGTTTGTGCTGTTGGGGTTATATTTAGGAAGTGGTTCCCTGAGACAATGTGTTCAAGTGTACTTCCCACTTTCTCTTCTATAAGGTTCAGTGTGGCTGGCTTTATGTTGAGGTCTTTGATCCATTTGAACTTGAGTTTTGGGCATGATGATAGATATGGGTCTATTTTCATTTTTCTACATGTTGATATTCAGTTATGCCAGCTCCACTTGTTAAATATGCTTTCTTTTTTTTCCATTTGATATTTTTTGCTTCTTTATCAAAGATCAGGTTTTCAAAGATATGTGGATTGATATCCAGGTCTTCTATTCAGTTCCATTGTTCCTCCTGTCTGTTCTTATGCCAATACCAGGCTGTTTTCAGTACCGTAGCTCTGTGGTAGAGTTTAAAGTCAGGGATTGTGATGCCTCCAGAAGTTCTTTTATTGTACAGGATTGTTTTGGCTATCCTGGGTTTTTTGCTTTTCCAAATGAAGTTGAGTGCCGTTCTTTTGAGGTCTTTGAAGAATTTTGCTGGGATTTTGATGGGTATTGCGTTGAATCTGTAGATTGTTTTGAGTAAGATTGCCATTTTTACTATGTTAATTCTGCCTACCCAAGAGCATGGGAGATCTTTCCACTTTCTGGTGACTTCTTCAATTTCTTTCTTCAAAGATTTAAAGTTCTTGTCATACAAGTATTCCACTTGTTTGGTTAGAGTTATTCAAGATATTTTATGCTATTTCTTGCTGTTGTGAAGGGTTTTGATTCTCTGATTTTTTTCCCCAACCCTTTTATCATCTTTGTACAGGAGGGCTACTGATTTTTTTTGAGTTAATCTTGGATCCTGCTACATTGCTGAAACTCTTTGAGTTGTAGAAGTTCCTTGGTAGAATTTTTGGGATCACTTACGTAAACTATCATATTATCAGAAAACAGTGAGAGTTTGACTTCTCCTTTTCCAATTTGTATCCCCTTGATCTCCCTTTGGTGTCTTATTGCTCTAGCTAGGACCTCAAGAATTATATTGAATAGATATGGAGAGAGTGGACAACCTTGTCTTGCTCCTGATTTCAGTGGAATTGCTGCCCTCTCCCAGTTTTAATGCAGGCCACAGGCTTCTTCCATCTGGAAAATTCACATAAGAAGCATTGCCCAAGTTCTCTTGAGAAGAGGCTGGGGATGTGGCTCAGTTAGCAGAGTGCTTGCCCTGGCGCTCACAAAGCCTTGGGTTTCACCTCCAGTAGTGCCTAAAACCCACATGGTTGTACATGCCTGTCATTCCAGAACTCAGTAGGAAGATCAGGAGTCCTAGGTTATCCTTGGCTACTGGGCACATCTGAGGCCAGCCTGGACTACATGCGACACAGTATAGAAGAAGAAGGAAAAAAGAAAACAAAAAACAAAATCACCAACGGCTGAAAAACTCAAAGGTCTGGCAAACCAGAGCTGCCAATGAGGCGAAGTGTAGATGTCCCTGGAGGGGTACAAGAACCCTCTGTGTGCCCACAGCCCCGCTCGTCTTCCTGTCTCCCTGCTTACATACAGTCTCGAATTCTCACTGTTACTGTTCTGGCAGGCTTTCCTGCAGCCAGGCTTGAAAGGCCTGACTCTGGAGGCTTGATTTGCAGACCAACAGCCCCCCTTCAGGGGTAAGGGTGCAGGAGGCCACAGCAGATGCACTGAGCCATGGGTGCAACAGTAAGGACCCAGACTTGGAAAGCAGGAAAATTTGGCATCATAAGGACCTCTGGTAGTTAGGTAACTTGAGGCACCATAGAGCCTTCCAGCGGTGAAAGTAGAGACAGGCTGCCAGGAAGCATCTAAGGACAACTGAGCAGACAGTGGACATACGGGTAAAGAATGGGCATGCCTTCTTCCACTGCCCTAACTGGAAGGGAGCCTCTTCCAGAGACCTCAGTCTCCAGTGTTTCTCTCCTCCCTGAATCGGTTGTGTGTGCGCACGCGTTATGTATGTGTGCGTGTGTGTGCATGTGTGTGTGTCATCCACATGCTCATTTAAAGAGGCCAGAGGAAGATGTTGGGTGCTCTCCGTTTATCACACTCCAGCTTATTCCCTTGAGACAGGGTATCTCACCGAACCTGGAGCAAGGCCAGCAGCCAGCCAGGACCAGCATTCTCTTATCTCTGCCCCAGTCCAACCCTAGGGTTACAGGCACATGAGTATCCATGGCTGGTTTTTTACATGGGTGCTAAAGATTCGAACT